GAGACCATGCCCTAATAAGTTTGCGCAATGCGGGCTTTGTGTACTCAACCAGAATGGGGAAAAATTGACCATTTGTGGTACTGAATTTCTGATTGAAAGTAATTTCCAGTTCCAAGAGGTTTTGCAACACTCATCAGTTTGGTATAAAAGGACATTGACGAAGAAAACTGGGAAAAACCGATCTGATAGAACAGATGCATAAGGGAACAAATGACTTTTGCGACGTTGAGACTGGCAATTGAACCTGGAAACATGAGTTCACTTCTATAAGTTTTTCTATTGAATGCATTTGAAACGCAAAAGTGAACCCGATCCTTTTGGAGGTTATTAAAACTGGCGAAATTCAATTGGTGGGAGCTAAATGAATCACATATAAATTAATGTCTGACCTTAAGAAACATCTACACAAAAGAAAATTATTCATCAAGGAAAAATATCGATTAGATAGTTGGTCGTCTCAAATAGAGAAAAAAGAATCAGTTATTTGTATTTTGAGCTACCTACCACTTAATTAACAAATGCTCACGTATCACGGGTTACGTGCCATAACCATCTTCCAAGCTATCAAGCGACTGGGATACTATATCATGCATAGTTTAAAGATTAGATAACAGCATTTGTGGTGAATGTTTGGTAGCTAAAATAGACTAATAATACTTGTGCCTTCTGCAATTCTGAAATGTATTGTTGATACACTCACTGTGTGTCTCTGTGAAAATGGTCTTACTGTTCTGTCCAAACGGTAAAACTGGTTCACGTTTGATGATGCTTGAATCGTCTCATAAATTTCATCGTTTTTCTTCATCGTTTTTCATCTAATTTGGATGTTTTAACGTATCCTTTTGGCCACTCAACACTTTTGAAGCGGGAAAATGTTTTGCACTGGGCTTCTATCGGTAAGAACAACACGAATCGATCATGTTCGTCTTGAACTTATCAAGATGGTCGTGGGGCTTTATTGTTAGCTTATCCGTCTGTGTGCATATATTCTGAAATAGTCCTTCGGCTTCTAGTTGATGGAAGCTTTTCTAGATTTCAGTATCTGGCTCGGACACATTAATACCACTCTTCTTGAAGTAACGCATGATGGGGAATTGTACGACCTTGCATTTTCTGTTGCCCAGGAAATGTGCAACACCAGATTGTCCCAAAGCAGTTCGTATCTGTTTTGGCCATAAAATTCACAAGCTGTTTAAAGTAATGTGATGATGGTAACTTCTTGATGATCTCCTTAACGCATGTCAGACAGTAGCATTGTGGTCAACCATATTTCTGATTGACCTTATCAGTTTAGCTGTGTGGTATTCCAGGTATACTTTGTCGAGTCAGTTCAAACTAGAGCTTCGCAACTATTAATTTGGATATCTTTAAATAATCTTCCATTGTTCTTTCACCAAACTCTAGATTTAGGGCAGAAAGCTTTCGGATGGAAGTCAACGAGGGAGACAATATTGTATTCCGGTGCCCGGAATGGGTCAACGGTTCCTTCAAGTTGCACTGGGTAAGAAGTGAGTTAAAGACATTCAAGACCAGGCTTGATTTCTTGAGCAAAAGCAAAGGTTTTATGGTGCTTGTTACCAAATGCATGTTACAATTCTCATAAATATTAAATGTGCCGCAATTTTTAATATGTCGTGAGAAATGAATTATTTCAGGTCAAGTATCATCTAGATTTGGCTGCAATTTATTTCTGTCACCGTATGAAGTCGCAATTCCTCAAGTGTGTGAGAATTTCGTCTATACGCGACAAACGACCCTGTCAAGGCTACGAAATATTTTAAAGAGTTTTTATTCTCTTTCTTGTTAAATCTAAAATCTTACTATTAGTCCTATTCATTCACCTTATCTACTGTACTCCTGGTCAGTCCTACAGTTTGTGTTGTATGATTTGATGGGTGATGAACTAACGTGGACAATGGAGCCCACAGTGTAGCTGCGCACAAAACCGTATCCGGATTATCCACCAGCGTGAATAGAGCTGCACTTATTCGGAAACCAGACGTGTGGTAATTGTAAACTGTATAAAAGGGTTTCAAGCTCCAGATATGCTGTGCTAATAATCTCCCAACATGTGTCCAAGTTCGAAAGCCATGTATAATATGAACTAACTGGAAAGTGGTAACTTACCAATCCCGAGGGTTGTTGATGAACGAAACGTTTGTTTTTCAGGGCCCAAAAAACGACAACACATTACAGCAAAATTCACTCAAACAAAAGTGCTGATGAACAATAACCTTGACCATCACTTCTGCCACCATTCTAAAAAAGGGAAGATATTAGATACAAAGTATTTTATATTTGTGAGAACCGATCAATTTACAATTAAAGGGAGTAGCTTGTCAAAAATGGCTATGGTCTCTTCTGCATTTAGAATACACAGAGAATGCGCAGGAGCCAAAAGAGTGAGGAATATTTACTTGTCTGTGAGCAAAAATGGCCCATAGTGGGGCCAAGTGAAGAGCGAAAGTGATATTTGAAATTCTGAGGTTTGGTGTATGTCGACTAAATGAACTAAACAGTAGACACTATCATCGGAAGAACGGTTTGTGCATTTGGGTGACACTCTCGCGTGTTGACGTCCTTCAGTGGATTGTCTGAAGTGTCCGGAAAACGATTATAATAAGTTTACCTGAGTTACTGATGTTACAGCCTCTCACTTGCTGAGCAGATTGTCCGCTCCTTGGGCGATCTTGGAAAGTGAAAAGGAAAGCGTCTACTGCGGTGTAGTGCTTATTAATACATAAGGCTGATCAGACAAATGTTAGTGCACACATGGCGTTTTGTCTGCGCGTGACAAAATACTACGTATAAGGTCAATGAAGAGTCTTCTTAAGCCTGTTATTTGTCTAGCGATTTGGACATCATCTGGAAAAATGGTCACAAATTTACACCATCCATACTCGAACCCAAAAAGCCACTATGCAGTAAATGAAATCAAGAAAATTATCATTTGGAGAGCTGCACTCTCCTCAAACCTCAAACACGCGAGCTGAGTGATGGAGGAAGATTGCATATCTTGAGATGAGTTCAACCTGATAAAATATGGCAAGAAATTGCCTGGCTTTGGATGAATATGCCAAGGCTGGCTTGCAGACTGATTTGATAGTTTAAGGAAAACAACTTGCAGTGTCAACGCAATCTGGTTTCAAAGCACACAACGGTTTCGTCCATGTAGCTTGGTCGGCAGTGTGACTGGGTCCGATGAGGCGCTTTCCTTCAACTTATTTTACTGACACTTGGATCCAGGTCACAACTGAACTGTGCTTACAGTTTTCTGCAAGGGTAAGTGTAGATTTAATAGTGTCATGAAATCCCCCCCCCCACAGGGTGACATTAACAGCATCCGCAGCTTCAGAACAATGTTGTGCTTGTTAACGCTAACCGTCTTTTCAAGGTATTCGCATGCAACTTGAAGTTGTCTTTGCTGGTTCAAGTTTCCTCCTAAAGAGTTCTATTCTCGTGAGGTGTGGCTTTTTTTACCGGGTTGAATTTGCAATTAACCGGAAATTCTGTTTAAATCGCATAGGTTTTTTTCGAGACTTCACTTTTCTCAAAATGTGTGGTGACTGACGCTTGAACGAAATGTGACTGTATTGTTACTAGTTCCCCGATGAACTGATCTCAGTCCAGTGGGGGGACTTGGGATTTCTGTTTTTCACTATCAAAATGCTAAATTCTATCCCAAATCGCAAAGCTTTGTCAAACTAAACAGCCAAATAAATTTTACCTCATCTTCAGATATATGAGGACGTTACAGAGTTACTAACGTTTTTACTGGTGTATAATTTTCCTCGTCATCATCGCATACCACCGGTGAGGTACCCAAGACGGTTGTGATAGCAGAACAATGTGACTAAGACACTGCCTAAAGTAAGACACCGAAATTGAAGTAAATCGCCAGAAGTGATGAGATAACGGCCAGAGAAATCACGATCTGTTTCTTTAAGTTGGTGAAATGAAACTTTAATCTGCACTTTCTCAAGGCAGCTAACATTGCCCTTCACGATGGTTGTCCAAGTTTCTCGTCAAAGGTATCACAATTACAAAGTTCTCATGATGTCCAACTGAATAACTGTGGACATAAGCTGAAGTTGAAATTCAAATTTTATCTGATGCTTTATGGTGCCACCAATTCTTAATCCACTTTAGATGATTTCAGACAAATCTCGTTTAAGAATACCTTGGCTAGACCCACTAAATCCCGTTCTGGACTGCTTAAGTAAGCTTTGTCCTTATGATGAACACAACACAATTATTCACATAGTCCGAAGACGGAGAACTCTAGTCTAGTTTCATCAATTCAATTAGCTTACGTGATTATGAGATTTCAGCTTATCTTTCAACATTTGATTTACTTTTGACGACAGTAGCACGATTGATCAGTATGTCAAATTTGACAGAATAGAAAACTTAATTTTATCACATTCATCATCTACACGCAAACACGAGACAAAATAAAATTTTACCGAAGCCAAGCAGTTGGATTCCGCTTGCCTTTAACAAACAGAGAATGCTATCAAAATAGGAGCAAACAAATATTTCTGGTTTTTGACCACGTTATTCAACAGGCTGTCACACAAGAATTATGATTCCCTCTTAGAAGAGATTTTTAGTCAGACGAAGGCAATCGGACCAGGTTTGAAAGGGAACATTGTAAAGAACAGCACCACAATCAGAAAGACCTTCTGAGAGCTGTCCAGATGTTTGCAAAAACCAATCGAATCCGGTCAAAACCTATCTTTTGTGTTTTTGGAACTTGTCATCAAAAGTCAAACTCGGCCAGCACAATTAAAATTTGCGACTCACGGCTTAGTATGACAGAACTGTTTCGTGGACATGGTTTTTGTTTGCTAAAACAACAAATGCAGTAGTAAGACAAGAACGGAACCGCAGCGGACGGATCAGCCGTAAATATTCCCATGAGAATATGCAATTTCGTTTATTGCCGTTCGACAGCGCCTTTGAAGCCATCCACTGAACGCAAGCAGGAGCTCGCAGATTAGCCAAAAAAACAAGTGAAATTTATCACACATTTCTCCTTTCTGTTTTAAAAGACACTGCAGACGCTCTCCGACCTAAAACGGCGGATGCATAGACTAAGCCAAGAATAGTGAACCAGACTACCACCTAATATTATTTCTATTCGAAAAATGGTTTAACTATGACGAATGAAGATGGTCATGAAAAACGCTGTTTTTAGTTACGGTACTTTTCAAAGAGGATCCTCTCTAGCTCTTGCGTGAAGAACCACATTACGATAATTTTGACACGTTTAGTGACGTCGGGAAAAATTACCCAGGTTAGGATGACCTCAACTGGTATTAACAGGTGGATGAAGATTTACCGGTGTGTTGGAATACACTTATTTTTCGCAAATTGTTAATCTTGGCAGCAAAAATTTTGAATCCCAAAAGTAGCTGAGCAGAAACAAATTTCTTGTGTCCTGGTAAAATCACTTACAATTTAACAAACGGCAATGGTAATCGCAAGTCAGAAAATCAGACAGAAATATGATAGGGGCAAAAACGGTCAGTTTTCTCTCGTCAGTCAAAATTGTAAAACGCGCAAGCTTCGTCCAGTTGAGCACAATGTAAGAACAACTGTGAGGACGGTAACACTGTCACACAAGATACCCACAATTGGAGTAGATTCAGAACCTGTGCATGCAAAAACACTAGTTCTTCATAGAAGTGAGTGGTCAGAGATTAAGTCTCTGTAGCAGAAGAAAAAACGTTTGCCTGATGTCATCACTATCACCATTGGTGAAATTCCTTTGCGACCGAGGAGTTCCAGTCCACCTGTCCACCTAATGTGTCAAATCTTGCTATTATTTATACTTCAGAGTAATCCGAATGTCGATAATTTGCCTTTAGTTTCCCATTATGTTTTTTTGTGATTTAGCAGCACCTACAAACCGGATCCACGTCCAAGGCGTTCAGTCCTAGGTTGGGTATAAAGATTTCTAAGACCGTTACCCACTGTCAAGCTGATGGCGCCCAAACGCCAGATGAACGCCAGCTCATAGGTGCGCCTAAGGGAATCGGTATCTCGGCCTACCTTGAACGGCTGAAGCACTTGAGGATCGAAGGGAACATAAACGCGCTGCATGATTCAGTCTTAGTGCCAAAGTTGTAGACAGCAACTAGGCATGATCTATATGATGTTATGTCCGGATGTTCATCTCAGACTGCTGAACTTTACACGTTTCTGGTGATTTTACGTAATAGAAGTTCTTCAGGATGCAATTTATGTGTAATTTAGCGTCCTAATGCACAACCAGCTGCGCTTGTGTCGACCAACGTCCGAAGACTGCCACCATGTGTTGGCCAAAAGTTAGTGAGTCCAAAGGTGGCTGATTGCAAAGAAGAGATAATTTTGAATCGAAACAATAAGAAAACATCACTTTCTTAGAAAGGAGGTGGAGAATATGGGAAACATGTGCCTGGAAGATTTCGGGATTTATCATACAACGGTATTTTGAAGGAATGGCTCTTTTAGAAGTGGCTGGCGTAGAACCAGTACCAATCGTCCTATGGAACCTATACTGTTTAGGCCGATGTAAGAACAAACTTGAGCTGGTGCATGACCAGAGTTCTCTTTCCGTATCAGTCGCCAAGCCTACATTCTTGAGTGTCAGCTATGACTTTGAGCCATGAAAGTGTACATCCGCACAGCATGTTTTCCAGTAGACTGTGAAAATTTAAGCTTGCTTGAGAACTTTCGAAGAGCGGCGTCTAAGTACGGAACACGTAAAACTTCCCTGAATGGCCCTCAACTAGAGTGTAATCGAGTGTTCCATGGGGAAGATTCCCCGCAGGTAGCAGTCTGTTTAAAACATCGCTTTTTGGGTCATACATTGCCCTTTTCGTTGGCAACGTGATCAGGTCAACAAAAATGCAATCCTTCTAGTCTGCAGAGCTAGAGTGAAATAAATATTCAGTGCTATCAGAATCACCAGAATCGGCGAATTAGGCAAACGTGAACTTGCATTGATTTTCAACTGATTTTTACGTAAGCGGTTGAGCTCGATTGCCCTGGTTATTCTCCGGAAACCCGTAGTAAAACTATTATTTTTAATGCCTGTTGAAATCAAGAGTTTTATGTTAAGTGTGTTTTCTATTAAGCGATCGTGAATAATACTGACGCCAACTGTCTTGTAACAAGCATTAATCGCAAACTTGGACTGTGCATACAGGGGCTGATCACATGCATACATTGTTGAAGTTCAAATCCTGATTACCATAAGTTCACCTAAATCAACTTTACTGGCTCACGTCTTCTAAAGAACTGACTCCTAAACATCTAGACTTTTGAAAAGTCTCGAGAGCATTGAGAAAGTTACATACAGTAGTGCTTCGTTGCGTAGTTCCAGACTGCTATAGATTTGGGAAGTAGGACTGACTTAGAATTCGCTTTCAGCGCCAGATGAGTCAAGAAGCCCTAGCACTCGTGAAATATTGTAGCAGAACTGAGATCAGTTGAAATTTTCTTAGAATTTTGCCTTTTTTTCCATTGTTCACTGTGATTTCTACGCATATTACCCTAGTCTCAATGTTCTTAGAATCGAGCGATATGTGACTATGCATCGCATCTTGTGTGTAGCCATTTAAAAAAATCAATCGGGTTACCAACCAGAAGAATCATGGATTTGGTCCCTGGTTAGAATAGCCTGGCTGGTTGTGGTGCATACGCAAGCGCGTAAATAGCTCTATGCTGATGACTGTTTGAAACTGTATGTAGAGCAAAAGACCTTGGACGTTGTAGATACAATATTGCCTGAGTCCCGCTAAGTATATTGTGAATATATTTGCTATGGAACTACGGTCAACTCAGAGTGTACGTAGAACGATGGGTAAACAGAAGGAGTCAACTTTCGGCTTTTCCAAGAGTGGCAGAAAACAATTATATCTTCAAACGATCTGCACAGAGGCGTCCATGATATTATTAGCTGTTGTCAAATGCTAGATTTTACTTCCTATCCCACAGACCCCGAATCACAGATATTTCAACGCTTGTGATTGGCCGGAATCGAAACCTGTACAGCCGCTCATGACGTGTAACTCCTTTGGGCAAACCTCTGAATTCATCCTGAAAGTCAGTCAGTTTTCCGAACTAAATTATGTGCCAAATTTTCGCAGAGGCTATCCGATTTACTTTGTGGGTGAGTTTACTATTCCTTTCGAATTGTGTGTAAGCTATTGGTTTTTAAATAATTTTTGTTAAGGTCTACTTGGACAGTAACTTATCAGTGCACGAATAGGTACACAGTGATTTAACAGTAAACTTTCTAAATCGGAGGCTCCAAACACAGGAATTGCGTAAGACTGCCCTTTGTTCAAGTTACAGAGAACTTGAAAGTAGCTGAATATCATTCAATTTTAGCCTTTTTTAAAGCAATTTCCCCAATGACATTGTAGTTTTGTTGAATACCAGTAGTTAATGATAAGGTCGAGTTCACCGGAACTGTTCAAATGATGGCGAATGTGCAACTCATTAGAAACCAAATCATAAAACAAAACTAATCGTCGCGGCTGCCCTTAACTAATGGTAGAATATTCTTCACCAAATTGTTTGAACATCGCTACATCGGCAATATGAAGTTGGTGCTCATTACTGATGTTTTGCTGCTGTTCACTCACACTTTATTCGAACGATAATGGATGGCTTAATGCTGGCGTACCAAATTTATTCCGAGGTGTCTACACCTCCAGGCACTCAGTAATGAATGCAACGTCTACCACGGGGCGTGGAGCGGATTACCCGGTCCTCATTACGAAGGTGAGTCGCATCGACAGCAATCAGACTTCTCGTATTCTTTTTCACACCTGCTTGCTAGACCAAAGGTTGACTGCCTCTATGTTTAAGACACTGTGAGTCGGACACAGAAAAACACTGTTTTGGCTAATCATTTTTAAATGCATCATACTTCAACAAGTAATAAAGATGTTTTGTTGAATACACCTTGACGATTGCTGTTTCTGTCTCACATCCGAGAACTCATTTTCTAATTTTTTCGTTGCGGATCCGCTGGCACCACTCTTCACGAGTTGTGCTCCTGGGACGGTAGTTATTGAGGACTTAAAGATACCAGAGTTCGGCTGCTTGCAAAGGCCACGCCTCACTACCATAAAAAACACCTCGTACTTCAGGTTGATGCCACAATCGTCTTTATAAAGTAATGGGTATTTTTTGGGATAAAAAATTTCGTTTCTCTCACTAAAATCGAATAAGTGAATACCTTGAGCCTACTAGTCCAAGACCGACATCGGAAGACGTCATATGCGGACGAAGAAACCCCTAGAATTGTGCAGGAATGGCTGCTTTTACATGTTTTATATTACACCGCGATCAAGTAAAGTGTTGATCAGATTTGGCAAGCATGGTTTTTGGGTGTGGGGAGCCCCACAAAGTACGAGCAAGATGGATGGACAAAAGTTACTTTACGTTGCAGATACTCACATAACCGCAGAACAGTCGTGTTAACATTTTGGATAAATTTTACACAATCCGTAAACCACAATCACGTAAATAACGGAGTGAATTGGTGAAGTTTCACTTTTGCCTTCTTTCTTGGTCAGATGTAACTATCCATCCGTCTGATCCGATTGAATTAAACGTAACAAGTAACGCACGCAATGAAATTTCATTACAGATATAGCAGATATGTTTCACCAGTCAGCATCCGTATTTACCTCCATTCTTTAGTGATATTTATGAAAGACAGTTCCCTCTAAAGTTTTACTAGGCTTTGAGATAGGAGGGTCCAGCATTTGCAATCCTAAACACTTCCACTCTTTGATTCATGTTCTCATGTTCAAACGTGTTGCTAGGAAGGTAGATAAACAATTTGGATGACCCGTTATAGCCATTAGCCAAAGGCGCTAATCACAGTATTAGAGCAGAAAAATAAAATAAAACATATGCGAGGTTTTGTGGGTTAAAGAGCGATGCACAAAGCAGGACACCATGGATGAAGATATTTGGGCCGATGAGCTCTGATAGGAGGGGAAGTCAAATCCGGGAAGACCTTCCTTTGTCGTGGACTCACCAGAATGATTGCGCCAGGACGGGATGACAATTGTTCAAACGAGAGTCATGTGAGCTTGCATTCTACAAATGCCTGCAACCACCAACACGTGAAATCACGTAATTTTTTAAAGTTTGCATACTGTATCACGGCAGATGTTTCTGCACACTTTTCCTCGAACACAAATTCAAGTACAAGTAATGAAACCAAAATGTAGTGGGTCAAGATCCGACTCAACTACGTAGAGTTGGCGAAGCGCCCACTCTGCAAACGAATGTTCGCAGGCGCGCGAAGCACCCAAACACTCTAGATTTTAAATTGCCTCATATGTATGTGATTCATACTCAAGATTGTCCAACTCCGTATTCCTTCTAAAGTATTCCTTCCTTGGGATGCTATTTATGGAAGTAGCGTGGGTTTGATGGTCCTTAGAATTTACGAAGAACTTATTTATAGCTGGCTTATTCCCAGGTCGCGTACTAAATATATTAACATGGTGATAGTTGACTAAACTGTACTGAGCAAACGTTCTTATAGTAACTTGTACATATTCAGAACCGATTTAACTGTACCGAGTTAATCCAGCTTATTTAAAAGTTTTTAAACTTTAGCGGAGTGAAAGTTTTACCATAACAGAAACGTTATATTTTCAACGCTTTTCAGGGGACATTCCTCTTTGTTTCTTCTAATTCAGTCGTGAAATTGTGGGATAGGAATAACCTCATTACGATAACGTCATCAGCATCTAGTTAGCATACTCGGTATCACATGACAGTGAAATTACTTACTTTCTATCTTCAAGTTATTCCACAAAGATATAGAAAACAATGGAGGATCATAAACTGCCCACGTAGCTTTGTTATGCATCACGCTGCACTCGTTTTTTCTTACCGACCTTCTGGGCTCAAACTAGTCCCCAGACATTTGCTTCCAATATTAAGAGGAAATGAATTTAGCAAACCTAAAAATTTCTGTCAACAACAATGGTAAAAAGTCCTCTCATGAATTAACAGTCTCCATTTGCAATAGATTTTCCGACTGTGGATCTTCACAACTCATGAATTACAGTCTCCATTTGCAATAGATTTTCCGACTGTGGATCTTCACAATGCTTCAACAATCTCTAATCTGGTAAAACTGCAGAAAAATAGCAGAACGCTTTAGAAATAATTGCATTGGTGAGATCGCGTTTGCCGTAAAGGAAAAAATAATGTGATGTGTTCAAGACAAATGTTTTCTCATGGCCTACGTAATGAACCAAACTCCATGGAGAATGGATAATTGATCAGGATAGCGTGAACAAGCCTTCTGGTCTTTATCTTAGGACTGGCTTAGATAAGCTGTGTCATACCACTTGTGCTATGTGTCACGTGCAGTAGTACTAGCCAGATGCCCACACTCTGACCTTGGGACAACCAAAGATTTCACTCGAAGCGCTCAGTTCAATTGGCCGACGGCATGTTGGTGTCTCCTATGCTAACACAAAAGTAAAAAAGGATTACAAAGGAAAATGTGGCCACACAAGTCTGTATCAAAACCCGGTGGTTCAAATGAGCAATAACTAGTTTATTATCTCATGATTTAGATTTCCTCCTGTAAGTGACGAAAAGCCAAAGGGCACTGTACGGCTATGTTATCCTTACTGAAAATCATCACTGCGCAATTCCAGAAATTGCATGAAGTTTAGAACTCGTGATCCCCCGGCAAGTAGTTTGAAGACCAGGTCTTTCGTAGTCGTTGGTTTGTTGACTTGGCTGGGCACTTTGAATGCCCAGGCGATGCTTAAGCTTTGCCTCTCTTGCTCTAAACGTCTGGTCGTTGCTGAAGCGACCTCTGTTCTTGACCTCTCTGAGTCTCACTCTGTGTCATCTGTTGATTTGGCACTAAGAGGTTTCTCGCTTGTTCATTTGAAAACTGATGTTCGGTATTCTTCCGGTTGAGATATTGGTCTTTTGAAAGTAATAATTCTTAAATTTGCTGTGGTTGATCGAACACCTCGTAGAGTACCGGGCTTCCAGAAATTTCCTCACCTGTCTTGAGTCTTCTGCGGCAAGATTTTCACGTTCCCCAAATTGATTTTGTAGCCTTCTTAGTTGTGATATATTGATTTCCAGGACACGGAATCATATCTCTTAATGGATGCTTTGTGTTTCTTTACTAAAGCGCATGAGTTTATTCCATTTGTCCAACGTAGCACTTCCTGCAGCTGTTGCAGTTGATTTCGTACACCACAATATTCCTTTTGGTTGTCTTAGCTGTCCTTAGGTCATGAAATCAGTATAAATGAAGTTTCGTCCGCGAGATGCTGAGATGCATTGTGAGTAACTCAAACGTACATAGGACATAGTAACTTTCATCCTTCACCGATGAAAACCGCATCATCAGGCGATATTTTGACTGGTTCCTCGAGTGACGAGTAACTGATTCGGCACATGGGACTAGGCGTGCATTGAACTGAGGCACACAAGCTGTTACAGCTTATTAACGTTTGGCATCTATTTGAGTGGAATGAACTTTCCCGTTACTTACTTGAATTGCACAGTTGTGGGTGTGTTTATGATTCAGACCACTGTACTGTGTGAGCTGAATTGGACCCCGTAAAGCAGCTTAAATCCGAGAAGACAACTGTCGCTGCCCGACTCTTCATAGGCATCCGTTATTGCAACAAACTTCTCACTTGAGTCTGGTAATACGCTTCCTCAGGACACGCAGCTGATTATTCCAGAAATCGTTCAAAAATTTCGGGTTACTGTTGTTGATACCAAGTGAATCTGATAGAGATCAGTAGGGCATGATGTTTGGCGACAAGTAAAGTACAATTTGCGTTTACTGCGACCAGTAATATTTAAGGTTGTAAATGATTGGAAGGAATTTATTTCCTACGATGCTGGTCGTGCTACCATTCACTGGAAGGCTACTGCTATTTACTTCCGCACATCAAGTTCAAAATTGATGTAACTATCTTCGCTCGAGAACTATGTGTAGCACAGATCTCTTTGCATAATGTAACATAACTTATTACAAAATTGCGCTGACAGTTCTTCTGAGTGGACTATTCAACAATACACCTATCACCACACCTGTGCACTGAACTCATTGCTCAAAATACTCTCGTGTGGTGCGGATTTAGATT